AAACCACCCAGCGAGTGCTCTAGCACTATGTTCTTGGACAACAACCAGAAATCCTGGCCAGCTAGAAGTTAAAGCTTCTGGGAGTTTGAGGCGAAGAACATCTGGGGACCCAAGGCTGGGAACACCTACTTTAACCTAAAGCAGTGATTGGCAAAATGCATTACCTTGGATCTTATTGGACTGTATTTTGTATGTTGGTTTATAAGAAGAAATACAGAATGTGGATTTTCTGACACATCAAGACTAGCATTCCAAGCATCTATCATCTTCCCTCTCTTAGAATGTGGATTTTCTGACACATCAAGACTGGCTTTCCAAGCATCTATCATCATCTTCTCTCTCTCTTTTGTATTTATTTCAAACCTTGATGGCTATGAGTTTTGATCGAAAAACTCAAGATGGAGATGCTTCAGCTCAAATGTACTTCGGGAAACTAAGAAATGAGGTCTGGGGAAGGATATGTTTACATCCTTAACCACATTGGTGTTGAATCTGATGACTTCCAACAGAAGAAAGCCGCAAATATAACTGCAGTATATGATAAAAACTGTTTTGAGAAAATTCTTCTGGTCCTTACACAAAAAGATCTCTTTTTTCCCCCTCCCTTTTTAGCAGTCCTTTGCAGAAACCGAGGCAATTAAGGTGGTTTAAACTCAGGTTTGCAGTGTAGGCAGGGTCTGTGTAACTAGGAGTGATCAACTTCATTCATATACCAAATCCAGACAAATTCTGTTACAAATCCAAGATTAAGATGATAATTTTATTGAACAACTTTTTTAAAAAATCACACCGTAAAAACCCATTCCTTGGGCTGGGTGCACGCACACACAGACACACACAGAGAGATGCAGAGACACACACATATAGATAGTGCAGAAAATAGTCCCAAAAATTCATGGCAGATGTCCGTGCTGATTCTCCTTGTATGAGCTGAATTGAAGTAACCTGGGAGGTATGGTTTCAAGCTTCCCTCCCTGTAAGTGTGGTTGGAATTTTCCATCCCAGACTCCAAACAAAGGATTTGCTGATTACTTTGACACAAATCCAATTCTCTTTTTGTTCTCAAGTAACTTGCATGAACAAGTTGAGATGACCAGTGTGGTGTAGTGAGTTTGACACAAATCCAATTCTCTTTTTGTTCACAAGTAACTTGCATGGACAAATTGAGATGCCCAGTGTGGTGTAGTGGATAGAGTGACAGACCAGGATTCAGGAGACCCTGGATTCGAATCCCCACTCTGTCATGGAAGCTCACTGAGGGTGTAGAACTGGTGAAACCACACCTTAAATACCTTAAAAATAAAAGGGAGTCGTGTGGTCAGTACAAAATACAAATGCAAAAGTAAGCGATATCTTTATAGACCAGTAAAATCATCATACGATACGTGAGCTCAGGTTTGTACTGGTGTGAAGAACTTAAAGTCCAAACCCATAGCTGTAACTTTCAAACAACCATTATTCTGCTTCCTGCACCTCTTGTGACTTACATCTAAGAAAGACGTGCCTGCCAAAGTCCATTTTGCCATGAACTTTTGGACTTTACATCTAAGAGTAACTTTCCAGGCAAAGTCCATCTTGGCCATGAACGTCTGGACTTTACGTTCTTCACCCTGGTATCAGCCCGATGAAGTGGTGTCCATCCACAAAAGCACACATATTGCACAATGATTTTAGTGCTCTATACAGGTATCGCCTACTCTTGCATTTAAATGTCTTCATTACCTTGAAAGCCCTCATTAGGGTCACTGTGAAGTCAGTTCTGACTTGACAGCACACAACAAGAGAACTATAAAACTAAATGTCAAACCTATTGCATTCCATGGGGAAGTTATTTATGAAGAAAAGGAAGAGTGGATTTGGAACAGATGCCAACTTTTCTGCCTCTCTGCCAGCCTTAAAAAATTAATTTTACCCACTTCTACATTCTTTGGCAAAGGAGGCACCAAGGACCTCTCGCTTGTCATGCGTACAGGGGAAGCAATTATATATGTATTCATGCTAAGGCATTTACAGTGGAAGCTGATGGTGAATATAGTCAGCTGGTACGCAGGCTTGTGTGCTTCATAGTTGACACGATAATGAGTTATAGTGAAATTATGTGACCATTTGAACCAAACGAATGTAAATCTGTGAAGAAGGCTGAACATTCAAGATGTGCAGCCACCCTTCTCTGAGCATTTCTGTTTCAAAGAAAATGGTATTAATGTTCTTTGAAATAATCCATAGAGTCAAAGTAAATGGAGCATATTCTCCTAAGCTCTGTCTATTTTGCAGGGCAGAATGGTGCAATAGTTAAAACCTAGGGACTGGGTTGCCAACCCAGTACAATTTTTGCCTTCTTTCCTAACCAGATGGTCATAGGTTTGTAAGACTTTTCTCATCAACCTTCATTGAAGTAGCGGGTTTGCTCATATAGTCGATTTCCTTTTAGCCACTGGTGCCCATAAAAGAACAGAAGGGACCACCTCACATGAATTAATCACTCCAACGATACACTGATCATATGAATAAAGGACTTTCGCAAGCACTTTTTCTGCTCCAGTTGGCTGGAAAGGGGTATGCATCATCAGCATCAACTCTGCTACAGCTACACATGGCCAGGCTACAGAGGGCCTTGCAGAAGTTATAGTTCTAAGTATGTCCCACCTCTTACAAAGAAAGCCAAAGACCTATATGTTCCAGACAGAGGTGGACCTACACTTTGGGGGCTCTGAAGCTTGAATTGCTATTGGGGGGGCCCTTTGCAACCAGCTACGGGGTCTGAGTAACCACTATTATGTTCTTCAACAGGGTTGTTCTACAGATCACCACAATGAGGATTGGGTGTGAGGGCGTCCAAAAAAAGCAAAGGGCAGGATGGGTGCTGCTAATCTTTGTGCCATTATTCAAGCATGGATGAGATGAGGCTGGTCACACACATGCCTCTCTTCCAACTGTGGTTCCCCTTCCATTCTCATCAGGAAGCCCTAAGATGGACTGAAGATATATAGAGGAAACTCTTCAAGGATGACCACCATCTCCATTACTACTGGTATTCTTTTTGTTTACACATGTCTTTTAATGAAATGTTCACCAGGTAGCCTTTGAGTAGACATTTGAGCATCAGGCCTTAATTAACTTCTGGCATCTCTTAGACGGCAGGACCATTTACAAAAATGCCCCAAAGTAACTGTTCCAAAATCTGGACTCCGCCATAAGGCACAGCATTACCTGACAGTGTGGTGTGGCACTAAACCCTTCTGTGGGACCTCTGTTGACATTTTTTGTTTGTTTTCTGTTTGTTTGTTTGTTTTTTTGCTATCAGCTATTCCCAGAAAAGGAATGCTTCAATTCATGGCTTCAAAGCATGGCGTTGCAGGACATGAGATGCAGCCCATGTGATGGCAGAGTCTGGAGGCAGACACATCTTGGGTGGGAGGACGCCTAGGAAGTCCACATGGGCCACCTTCAGTTCCCTCATGGTAGGAAAATAGACAGTAAATGTACTGAAATAAACAAAACAGCAATAACATTCATGTACACAAGCAGGTCTCTACAGCGTTTTTGTATGGACATACCCTCGGTTGTACTACCTTGAGATACAAATGAAAAACGGCTATCTGTATATAGCTGTGTGTGTACACAGGTCTCTGTGTGTGTGTGTTTGTGTGAAAAAGAGTCAGAGAAAGTGGGAGATTTCACACAGATCCAGACAGTTTTTCAGCATTTCAAGGAGAGCCTGGAGAAGCTCCTTATTTCAAACTATAGCTCTCGTAATCTCCTCTTTGAAAACCATCATCCACTGGCTTCTTGTGCACCCAAGAGCACCAGTGTACACACATGGAGAAGCTTCTCCTTAAATACAAGTTGAAGAACCTCTTTATGACCAGATACAAACACTTGTGGAGTTTTACTGCAGTACATGGAGGGCAGATTTGGTCCACAGTGGCAGGGCTGAGACCCCCATCCTGCAGTGGAACAGTCATTCCCTTTTGGACGCAGATGATGAGAGTTCAGTGGTGTGGACGTCTGGCTGTGGAACCAGAGGATGGGAGTTTGATTCCCCACTGTGCCTCCTTGAGAGGGGCTAGACTTGATGATCTATAGGATCCCTTCCAGCTCTGCAATTCTAACAATCTCATCACTCCGCAAACAACATGATCAAACTTCTGCAGGACACTTAAACCCCCCCCTTTTTTTTGTCTCAAACTTCCAACATTTTTAAAGAACAGGAAAAAAAAACGCCTCTACAGAGTGCCTCCAATGTCACAGAACAGGGAGAAATTTGTGAGCAGAGATTGGACGCGTGTAAGCAACTGAAGGGGCAGTATTTTACAAACAGCTTCTGCCGACGTTGATTCCTTATCACACATGTGCTGTACAATAGGATTTCTCCTTTCCACTCCTGGCTGCTATTGAATTGCTGGTACATTCCCTGCAGCCTGTTCCGAGGAGGACGAGCTGGAGGATGCTGGAAAGGGAGGGGGGAGGGAGAGGATTACTGCTGAGCCTTCTCTTCACTCTCCCCCCCCCCTTTGGTTCTCTTGCTGTCAGGACCACACTGACAGTCCCTCAAGGGAAGCAAAGCTGAGGCAGGGGAGAAGAGGGACCCATCCTTCATCCCTTGTATAGTTCTTCCAGGTCACTGACAAGGATCTATGGGGTGCTGGATCTATACAAGAGGGGCAGAACAAAAAAAGGGGGGAGCACCAGCTGCGTGAGGCAGACACCAAGCCCCTCCGGGAGCATTCTGTGATTTCCATGGAATCCGATCGAGAAATGTCCACCCCGTGCTTTGATCCCCCTGAGGAAGGCTGATTGTTCCCCGCTGCGTGTCCGGCTGCACTTGCTATGAAAAGAATTTACCTGCATGCACACCCTGCCTCTAGCGCAGTAAGTAACTTTGCGAAAGTTCGCGTGGGAACTCGGTGTGTCAGCAGGCAGGGTTGCCAAATAGGTACCAATGAACACAGAGGATTCTCTTTCCAGGGGACATTTTTTCCCCCTACGGCTCTGGAACTCGACACACAGGTTGGCTTTTCAGCTGTGGAGATACAATTCATTTTGCACCATTCCCAGAGAGAAGGGGAAAAGAGGTAGGTCTCTTTTTTTGCAATTCGTTCTGAGGTTTTAATATTCTGGATCAGAGTTTTGACAGCACCTCCAAGGGCAACCCATGACCCCCTATTCCTAGATTTCTGGTATGCGATAAATAGCAATAATTATGTTGAGTTATCTTACCAGGTTATTGGAAGATCTTTATGCTGAGAAATGTGAGCACTCCGAAAATTCCATAATGTTCCTGCTTCTGCTGCTAATTACTACCATTATTATTTATTAACTTTTATCATTGATAATTCAATAATTATTATTCATTATTCATTATTCATTCACTCATTCATTCATTCTTCTTCTTCTTCTTTTTCTTCTTCTTCTTCAT